GATTATTGAGTCACGATTGTATTTTCTCTGACATTTTATAGGGGTTGCTTTACTTCTGTGTGATGAGTTCACATTATTGATCTATTGCCAGACCATAGAATTGGATGAATTATTTATTTACTCAGATCTCCTTTGCTGTGGACTGATGACAATGATGTAAAAGCCTCCTTCAGCTTTCAGCCTCTTTAAACCCATATTTGTAGTATGTGCCCCAAAAACATTGTGATTCCTCAATTAATGTTATGCACTTCTTTTCTGTTTCAGTGCCGCTGTGTTAAACTCCTGATGGATTTAGAAACTTCAGCAACCTCCTCCATCCTGGAGCTCATCCACATGAGACCAGTAGAGGTGTGGATGTCCATCAGACCCAACTGACCCACCACAGGTCTGTAATATGTTAGTGATGCTGTACATGATGAGCTGTTCTGAATTGTTGTTTAGCTCAAAATGGAGTAAGAGAAAAGAAAAGGGAAGACGTGAAACAATAGCGATCAAATGACCGTAAAGGTGAACGAACACCTCCCGAACATGGTGTCAGTGAAGGTAAGGTTTGTTGTAGGGCTATTGGATTAGATTGTCTGTTTATCGTAAACCCTGCCCTTTGCTTATCTGCTTAAAAGAAACATAGGTTTACTGATAGCATTCATGGGTCTGTCACAATCTCTTACTGATAGTGAAAGCCATTGCCCTGCAGGAAAGTAGTTCAGCAAGGACTCGTGGCACAAAGGAAGCAACTCGTCCAAAGTTTTGGCTACTCATGTGTTTTCTTTGCCCCAGCAAAAAGAAGTTAAAGTCCTATTTGATCTATGTGTATATATATTTTTTAACCTTTGTGGCAGGAGATAAGTGCAGCTATGTTCACCCAGGTGAATATGTGTGTTGCTAACTGTGCACACTGGACTATGTTCCTGTTTCATGAACCACAAGGTCATTAATATTAATGGGCTCTTTTGTGTGTGCAGTCGGTACACAGTGACACAGACTGCTGCCAGTGTACTGGTGTCATGTGCACGGCTGAATTGGAAACATGTGATGTCTGTCTGTCACTGTTGAATGAAGAGGAGGAGGAGGAGGAGGAGGAGGGAGTGGATGGGAAAGGGAAAAATGTTCCTCTTGGTCCATTCCTGGAGGATTAGGGATGAAAATGCGGCCTTGTATGCTGAGCTCTAAAACCCAACAGCAAACAATCAAGCTTGCCAATGACGTGCTGTAACACATTCTTCCAGTCTTACTCCTGTTAAAGGCTCAAGAGTCGACCTACGTGTCTCTGTGTTTCCGAATGCTCCTTTATATCCTGGCTTTGCTGTCAGTTTGTGGCCTGGACACTGCAGATGTTGCCCGCTGACCCTCTTGTCCTGTGTCTAGATGCAGAGGGGAGGCAGTATGCCTGTGGCCCGCAGGAAAGCCAGGCTAGTCTGTGTGATGGTAATGCTCAACATCTGCATTTTCATCCTGATGGGTGTGACGTGGAAGCTTGTAAAAAGTGGCCCGCAGAAGGTGCGAATCCCATCCAAGAGGTTTTGGCGCCGACAGATACGGAGTGAATCCTTCTGGAACAAGGAGCAGCAGCGTCTGGACGTCATCTACAACCCCATCTTTAACCCTGCACTGTCTGGCGAGTCCCTCATCATGCATCCGGATTGGCTGAATGACACCGGACCGCTGAACCTCTGTGATTCTGACTACAGAGTCCTCACACAAATCTCGGACTACAACTCCTTGCCACAGCGCTTTCAGGACTTTCTTTTGCACATGCGCTGCAGGACATACCCCATGCTAATAAATCAACCCCATGTCTGTAATGAAAAACCATTTTTGCTGCTGGCAGTCAAGTCACTGATCCCACATTTCGACCGACGGCAGGCCATTCGTGAAACATGGGGAAGAGCAGGTGTCTTAGCCAATCGGACTGTGGTGACGGTGTTCCTGCTGGGCAACACCTTACCGGTAGACCACTTTCCAGACCTGCTGGGGATGCTGGATCATGAGGCGAAGCTTCACAATGACGTGCTCCAGTGGGACTACAGGGATTCCTTCTTCAACCTTACCCTGAAGGAGGTCCTCTTTCTCGAATGGTTCAGCAAACACTGTCCTCAAGCTCGGTACGTTCTCAAGGGCGACGATGACGTGTTCGTCAACACCTTACGAGTTGTTGACCTTCTGGAAGGCCTATCGGACAGGGAGGCTAAGGATTTGTTCATAGGTGATGTTATCAGTAATGCAGGTCCACACAGAGACCGGAACCTTAAGTACTACATCCCTGTGAGTGTGTTTGTGGGCCAGTACCCACCGTATGCTGGTGGTGGAGGATATCTGTTGTCTGGGGACTTAGTGACGCGCCTTTACAATGCATCTCAGCAGGTAGTCTTGTTCCCTATTGATGATGTCTATACAGGGATGTGTCTGAGGAAGCTGGGCCTGGCTCCTACAAAACACACCGGCTTTAAGACTTTTGACATTGTGAAAAAGTACAGGTCGAGCCCCTGCATCTACAGGAGCTTGTTGCTGGTTCATAGCCGGACGCCGCAGGAAATTTTAGAAATCTGGCCGTGGATTGTCCGCCCTGAGCTGGGCTGCCAGTGAACTTTATTTTTTTTTCACATTTTTAACAAACTGAGTGACATGAAAGAGTAATATTGGATATTCTTATGCATGAAATCCATTTGAATATGTGTTTCCTGTTATATGACCAAGGGTGAAAAATGGAAACAAAACCCTTCATCCTGTTTGTTCAATACCCCCCATTTTGTTTAGGCCTGAACACACAGTTTGTAAAGTTGTGGATAGATTTTTACCGTGTATGTATATTGTAATATCAATAAAGTTTTCAGAAGATATACACTTTATCTGTCAAGAGTAAATCGTCACAATCATTTCATGAGAAGAAGTCAAAAATTATTCTTTTCCAGCTTTATGGGCAAAAGTGTATTTACCAAGATGTCCTCAGATGTTTTTGTTTCCTCCACAACCTAAAGATATTCAGTTTAATATGACAGAGGAGGGAAGAAATCAGAAAATATGCACATTTATCCAACTGAAATCAGAGAATTTGGAATTTTATTCATGCAGCTGTGCTCCCGTATTAGCTGCTGCATATCTGAGGTTACAGTTAATGTTTGTGCGTCAACATTGTACCAGAGGTGACCCTTTGTAAAACTAAATATTGCTGAAACTTGCTTATGGTGTAAATCAAAGGCTGGGCATCCCTCGTGTCTGAATAAAATGTCAGCAATTCTTCTAATGATAAAATCAGCGTCATAATTTGCGTTTCCTTTGTGAATGTTTTTTTAATGTTTGCTGCTGTTTGAGGTCTTACTTTTGACATGATGCAACATACATGTTTTGCTATTCATTTTCAGGTCGGCTAATTCTTTTATGGCTTCCTTTGTGTGCTTTCTGCTTTTATCAATTATTCTGTGTGCTTATTGTATTTTAATTTTTAATTTATTTTTATTGAAAAGCACTTTGTGACATTTGTTTTGAAAAGTTCTCTATAAATAAAGTTTATTTTTTCCTTCTCCTTCTCCTTTTTTTAAAATTGAAAAATTATTATTCTTTTTTTTTTTAGTATCAATCAGCATTTTCTCCTGAAACCTCTCCTTTAATACAGTTCTGTAACTGCTTGTTTTTTTATTCAGAGGGTGTGAAATCTCCAAACTTGGCTGTCGAGCAGAATGCAGACTTATTATTATGATTATACTAAGTACTACAGTGACCTCTGCTGGACAAAACCGATACTACCAGCCAGGAAAAGGAAACGCAATCAACTAATTGATTTAGTTCACCTGCTCGGAGAGAGAAGGAAAATAGCAGTTTACATGAAGCTGAGAGGCTCAACTTGGCTTCATCTTTTCACACATTTAAGCAGTTTAACAGAAAAATTTTGGATAGTTAAAAAAAATAAAAATAAAATGGCGCGAAAGAACAGCTGGAAGTTTAAAAGCGGCCTGCTCATGTTTCTGTTTGGTATATTTGTGAATCGCTGCGATGCACAGGTAAGGCACTACCATCCTCTCCCTGGAATCAGCCTGTTTTATTTGAATAGTTTCAACCAACCATGTGTGTTTTTCTGTCTGCAGGTGAGCAGAGAGGACGCCACCACGCCTCCAGGTGAGTCTCCAGCCGTTTCAAATGTAAATGTGTGGATTTGCTGCTCGTCTGCATCCGTCTGGAAATCAACAGACAGCATCAGGAGAATGAGCAGAGGACATAAACAGACTGGGATTTGCTGTAGCAATGTTGATATAAAAGCGTGATTTAAAATTAATATCAGAAAGTGCGTTTCAGGTTAGCATAGTCACCTGCTAAAGCTGTTATTAGAAGTGTGACTGATGGTATCGTGGCTGTGACGATCCGAGCAGCTTAACTACAGAGAGAATCCATTTCACCAAATTAAATGTTGTTCATTGGGCCTTAAACACCTGGAAGTACTTGGCTTATATGCACACATTTAAATCAAAAAGTGGTGCATTTGTTCTTTGGTTAAATTGGCAGATGCCACCTGACAGAAACCAACAGTGATGCTCAGCTGACCAGTGCTGTGCCTGTTTGCATGTTTCCACTGTTGTGTCTACGCTTGAGCTTCAGTGAGGCGACGGCAGCGTGTTTTTGTGACTCGGTCCCAACAAATTTGCTCTTCTATGCATAAAGTTTGATAAAAAATGCCCCGACTGTTTAGGAAACTACTTTTTATTTTAAATTGTGAATATATGCTTGTAAGACATTTAAGGATTCCAGTAAGAAGCTGCTGGTTTTGAGCTGAGGTGTTGAGTTAAACATACAGAGTTATTGGTTTTGGGCTTTTGGTGATGTTAATTTTAAACCATTAGATCAATCTGCTGATCAGAGTTCAATCACTAACATTAAGTAGCTCAACATCCATCCGTCCGTCCGTCCATCCATCCATCCGTCCATCCATCCATCCATCCATCCATCCATCCGTCCATCCGTCCATCCGTCCATCCGTCCATCCATCCATCCATCCATCTGGTTGAGCTAAAACATATCCGACTCTTCTGTTTGTGTCTGTTTGCTCCTCAGATGAACAGGGAGGCGACGGCAGCGCCTTCTTCGCTCTGCGGAGTTGCCACCAGTTGCTGCACGGCGACAGCGGCGAGTTCTTCTCCCCGGACTACCTGTGCTCCAACCCGTCTCTGTGGTGCAACTGGACCATCCAGGTGGATCCTGGGAAGAGGATTAACCTCCACCTGGAGGACTTGACCTCCGATGACGCCTGTCACCTTAAGAAGGACCAGGTCCACGTGGACGAGCCCGCCGGTCATTTAGTGGGCCACAAGGTCCTGCAGAAGTGCTGGCGAGAGGCCAAGTACACGTCGTCCTCCAACACTCTGCATGTGGTGCTGCTGATCGGTGGCTGGCCCAGCCCGCCATACAGGGGCTTCCACGGCCACTACCAGGCGTTTGGACCACCGGTGGTTTACAACCCACAGGAAGGCTTCACAGTGAGAAGCAGGGAGTCAGAATCACCTCCTGCACAGATGGATACCAGCAGATTTGAAATGGTTACGAACAGTGAACTGACAGAGTCGGCAAATTCTGATCCACCATATGATTATTATGATCGACGTGATAAGGAGTCTGGACGGGCTGGAAGCACAGACAACGAGGTGAGTGGACACAAACACTGGAATGGGAATCCAACGCTCCACTCCAGCAGATCTAATGCCTTGCTCTGAGAACTCAGCTACCGGACCGGACAGCTTGTCAGCTCACTCTTTTAGCATCTTATCTCTGTTTTGGGTTTTTTGGCTACCTTCTATGTTCTTCAAACATCACTGACAAACAATTCATTAAAAATGTGGATGGTTTTCTCTCTAGTCCAGAGTGTGCTTGTGAGTGTGCTTGGTTGTCTGTCTCTAAGTGTAGCCCTGTGATAGACTGGTTACCTGTCCAGGTGAACCTGCCTTTAGATAATGGAGGGATGGATGGATTTTATACTGTGTCTTGTTTCAGGTGGGTGAAGACCTCCATACACCCTCTGAGAGCTACAACCAGCTCACGGCTGCGACCACAGCGCCCCCCGCCAGGACCCTCCGATCAGGACGAGGTGTTCCTCACCATTCCAGCATATCTGACGTCCATCCTGCATCTCCACAGCGTGAACATCAGGAGCTGAAACCCAGCAGCTTCACCCCAACAGCGATACGAAGGAACGCTGCTGCCGAGGACGAGAGCAGAACACAGAGACAGTCAGAGGAGGAAGAACCCGTCAGTGGGTTAGAACAAGCTGAAGACGGTGAGACCAGGACGGATGTCGGCCCAGCATCCAACCAGATTCCTTCCTCCTCAGAGGGTACCGAGCCACCACACACTGAACAGAACCATCCTCAGCCCAACGTGGTGGAGCCGCTGTCGGACCACAGAGGGAACCGTGAGTGTCTTTAGCTCGAACATGTCTGAACATCGGGTGTTTTATATGCTTGTGTGTTCAGGTTGAGCACATGAACTGCTGATATGTGCTCAGATAAACGGAACAATTGTGACGCTTCATGTGGATGTTCTCAGTTTGCAATGACTAAGTTAGTTAATTTCCTTCTTGATTTCCTTTGCAACACAGATAACACCAGTTCTGTGTACAGTTAATACAGATACAGAAGCTTTACTTTGTTGAACATGGACTATTAAAGTATTGCTTGATCAGCATCACTGTGGTTGTCCAAGAGGAAGATTCTCAGCTGTGCGATGGCAAATTCATCACCTGACTTCCTCTGATTGAGACCATAAAATAACATCACGCTGTATCCAGAAAGTCTTACAACTATCTGCTAGATTTTGCTAAAGTTTAGATAAACTTCAGCATCAAACAGTACATCCAGGTTAACTTTAATCTGTCTGACTGTGTCACACACAGTGAACACGAGGAATCACTCTGAAGCTCCACATCTTCCTGGAGGTGAGTATCTGACTGATAATTTACAGACTGCACCAGAAAGTTAACACTACAACACGTCTGATTTCTGTTATTCTTTTTAACTTATCCTGAGAGGATGTTTTCCAAACTAGATGCACTTATTTTTAATGCAGGGATGATATTTAGCTCAAACGAAAGATAGATTTGCATGCACTGCATCTCCTCTCCTCTCCATAAATGCTCAAACTGAAGCGTACACTGTCTGTATAATATTGTTGTAATATTGACAGTTTGGTCTCTGACAGATCACCTGTTTGAAGTCGCTGTTGAAGTGACTTTCAGTCAGGATTTGGACGAGTCCTGGGACAACCTGGCGAGGTCGCTGCTGCTGTCGGTAAAGAATATGGTACGTTGATGACTAAAGCACTACGTTTAGCGTGTGGGCTCGATAGAAGGAAATCACTGGTACATGCAGAAGCCTTCAGTGCTGGGCTCACTACACCACTTATGATGTTTCTGCAGATCAGCAAGCAGCTGGAGGTTCTGCAAACACCGCTGTCCATGTCTTCTAAAAGAATAAAACGGTTTGTACTCAACATCCCACAAAGTTCGAAGAGATGCAAGAAAAAAA